CTGCTGACTGAAATATCTATTCAGAAAATAGCTGTGTCTTCTAGAATATTGACATTCCAGAAGCCATATGTTTTGGATTGTGCTATTTATATTTACATTTTCAAAATCTTCCATAAAGGAATATAAAAAGAAAATATTAATACCCAGAGATATCCAAAATATGTAGTATAGTTGGTGTAGCTAACAAAGCATGGATGGATCTATCAAAGATTTTTTTTAGCCAGCTGTTTCAATCAAAGGCTACAGCTTGTGTCACAGAAAAAGAAGAAAAGAGCTGGGAAGTCCCAGATTTGCCCATAACAAGCTAAGCATGCTAAGCTAAAAATGAAGCCATCCATATGAAGTGCCAGCAGGAATTATCAGAGAACATATATGCTTCTAATCACAGCATGCCATCCTTGTAAATCAAAAATATGATTTAGATTATGTGACTGTGGTCCCAGGCTGCAAAAATCACTATGCAGAATTTTTCCCCATTTTTTGTGGAAAAATAGGCAAGTATGACTGAGGCTTTATTCCAACAGTTAAGGCTGCATGTGATACCAAACCAGGATCAACAAACACAAGGCATGAATCTTTACACTCACATTGTCTCACACACATATGTAAAGACAACTCTCTCTCTCTCTCTCTTTGCTAGTGTATCAACTGTAGGGACACTAACAACCTATTCATTAAACTGTCATTAGATGTGGCTTGAACCTGCATCAAAATCATCAATCAGGGCCACAGGAGAGTGGCAGTGTATAACCAAGAGCTTCAAGAGCTGGCATGCAAGCTGGTTGTCTGGCCAGAGGACATCCTAGCAGAATGCTTCCAAGATGGGGTCAATGATAATGTATATTATACCTACATCTCATGGGGGGGGGGTTCCCCTCACACTCTCTGCCAGAAGAGATTGAATTGACGTGGCTACTCCTGAAGCTGAAACACCATGGATGGTGTTGTTCTCCCCCTCTGGCAAAGACAGAGGTCCTGAGAACTCCCAGATGCAATCTCAGCCCCATATGCCAACCTGCTGTATGCTTCAAGTGCAGGGATGAAGGGCACTGAGCCATTGACTGATGACTTACCAAAATGACCCCAAAGACTGGTTGCAACATTGGAAAAAGGCAGGAAAAGCCATCCCAAAGCCCTGTGAAATGGTGTTAAAGGTAGTTGAAATCATTGAGTTCTCCCCTCCTTGCTCCGGGGGGTGGGAAACTCCAACCATCCCAGAGAGAAGGAACACAAACTCTGACAATATCAGAGTAAGTCACCCTGTGATCCCCATCACCACCTCAGTAGAGCTGAATGTGCCATTGTCAGGCACCAGGGGAAGATCTTGGCCTTACTGCACTTAGGCTGCACCAGATGCATGGTGAGCCCTGATGTGGTAGAAAAATTAGGACTCAGACTATAACAGTTAAGATTACCCGTAGCATTTTGCCAGCTAGATGGGACCATGCCTGGGGAAGCTCTGGTCATTTGGAATCAGTGGAAATAAGGATGGGTGGTCACCAGGAGACCCTGAGTTTTATTGAGGATTCCGGATGGAGAGACCCCTATTGCTGGGGCTGGCATTGTTCCAAAAATTGAATCTCTACATGAACGGGTGAAAGAGACTGTTAAACATTTGGAGTGGGGGGACCTGAGAAAGGTGAGACTTCTCCCTGGAAGATCAGCAGCAAAGCCACCCAGAATGTATTGGAATTAGCCATAATGGCTAATGGTTTTGTAAACACCCTACACCTGGTTAAATGACAATTCTGGTGGCCATCTCTCAAAAAGGGCATTGAAAGCTATGTAGCCTGCTGACTAGTGTGTGCATCAGCCAAAAGACAACCAGGGAAATCCATACGACTACTGCAACCAGTGGCAAATCCTCATGTCCCTTGGAAAGAGATCTGTTTGGACTTTATATTAGAACTGCCAGAAAGTGCAGGGAACACCATCATTTGGATGATTACTGACTTGTTCTCAAAACAAGTCCACTTTATCCCTTGCTCAAAGATCCCATCACCTCATACTTTGGATGAGCTATTTGTGCAACATATTTCCAGACAACATTTTGAGGTGAAAGACATTTTGTGAAAATAGAAGGGCAGGATCCAGTATTGATTGCATGGAAACATTTCCCTGCTTCCCAATCCAAATGAGTTGACAGAAACCACATTCAAGCTGACAAACTCCTTCATGCTTTCCGCAAGAAATATTCCAACAAATCTAGAATGTCAGAACTCAACTGAATACTTAAAATTCTCTTTTCTTTTCTCTTTTAGCGCTAACGCCTTTGCAAAGGAGGCCCGAATGTCAGCTGCTTATCTTCACATTCTTTGAAGCTTGCTAGCAACTGCCATAACCAGTGGGAGTGGGCATCTGGGAGGGTAAGCACGCTGGAGGTGTGAAAGAATGCTATGGGAAATTGGGGAGTATAGACAACTAACAGGAACCAGAGGTGCTAAACTGAGCTGATGGCTAGAACACAAATTCTGCATTAAGATACATACTGGAAGGTAGTAAGTATGAAATTTAGATATTTTAACAATTGTCAAATACAAGGAACTCAAAAGATCTTTGTATTTTTGTTTCTTCATGTTTGTAGCTTGATATGTAGAATACAAATTGTGGGATTTGCAATTTTACTGTAATGTTTAACCTACTTTAAAATTTACATTTTAATAAAACAGCAGCTTTGACAATTAATGTATATTAAATCAGGATAGAGCTACATGAAGTACAGTTTTTTTTGATGATGTTCATTTACCAAAGCTTTTTTATTCATTTAGTGAATATATGCAAGTTCAATCCACACATATAAATGAGAAATGAGAAAATTCAATAAATCTATTATTCATGGTTGCAATTCAGAATATATTTTATCAAGCTGCACTTTTCTTCTTCAGAAATAATATGAAACAAAAAGATAACTGTTTTTGATAATTTTTCATCATATATCAAACAAAAAAAAAGCCATGGATTGCTGATAAATTATAGGCTAATAGTTAAACATAAGAAAGTATATAACTAAAATATCTAACATATTTTCCATATCTATTTGTATATTGAAAACTATCATACTCTTTTTGTATATCAGAACCATGTTGATTATTGCAGTGAACTTCTCTCTTAATACCTTTCAAAATGTAATATTTATCAGTTCAATCTCCCATATTTCCATTCTGTTCCATGTGTTGTACAGACTAATTTGTTAAATGTATAAAAACTATATTTGGATGTCAAGGAGAAAAGAGTTTAAAAACAGTTACTAAAAATGGTTGCATTGTGGCTTGGATATACAGCCCCACATAATGCTAGATTTTGTCTCCAAGCACACACTCAAATTCATACACTTTCTTATGGAAGAGCCATTGCTTTGTATTAAAAGGTAGGGATGGTTAATAACTTTTGGAAAGTTGGATAAATTTATTATTTTTCTAACATTATTATTTTATTATTTTCTGCAATTGAAGAAGTAGAAAACTGCATTTTTAATTAAATACAATAGACATTCTCTGGTGTTCTTCTATAAAGGTAAGTCTCCTCTATCAATTCTGAAAAAAATCCTGTCAATTATTATAATTATTGTTATTCCCAGTCACTAAAATTGGGTGACAATCAGCTAAATACACTTTGTTTCATGTGTCCAGAAAGTGATATATTGATGAATCTTAAAACCAATACCATGTTGTCATAAGCAGCTTAATACCAATTCTTTTTTCCAGGCATTAATAACCATGGGTTTTTCAGTTGGGTAATCTTTTGGCAAAATATTGAACATGCTTACACAGGAAGTAGGTTTCATGTATACATCAGTCAATAAATTTTTCAACAAACCATATAACATAGAATATGTGCTAATGTTAATGGGGTTACACCCTGGGAAACTATCTTGATGTTTCCTGGAGCCTATTTCAACATATTTCTTCCAAGAACCAAGTAATAAATGAGCATCCCAAAAATCATATGTCTGAGACATGTAATATGAAGATTATCTATGGCAAATATTTTATTTATCATATTCATGTCCAACTTCAAATTCGATTATACTTTTTTAACTATAAAAATTAGTTTAAGCTGATTCTAAGATGGTTTATAAAATATTTCATACTGTAAAATCTATTTGTGACATAAAATAAATATACATTTCCACAAAGAATAAATACATTTAAAAAAAAAAACCTGAGTGTTAATATGTTTTTTTTTCTCTAGGGAAAAAAACAATTATTTGTGTGTGTGTGTAGGAATACTGAAGCTTATTATTCAAAATACTTTTTAACAAAAATTTGTGGCCAGAATTGCAATTTAATGTCAGTTATCCTGGAAAATATATAACCTTTTGTACTCTACCTGACATCATGCTCATATATGGGAACACAGTAAGAAAACAATTCATCATAAAAAAGGACATAATTTGCAGGTTATTTCATTCTATTACAAGTGAACAGAATAACTCAGACTAAACAATAGCACTAAAAGTTAACTGAAGTACCCTTTACTTCTACAATATCTATGAATTTTGCAAAAATGGCAAAAGCAAGAACATTCTTCACAAAAGTATGCAGCTTTAGAAAATAACCTAATTTGTGAACCCAAATAGAAATTTAAGAAATAAGAAATAGGGCATGTACAATGAAAACATTTGGCATTCTTGATTATATTGTAGGCATACATATGCTTGCTGTTTTTAATATCTTTTATGAAGATGATATGGCTTCTTTCTGCTCCCAATTTTTGTAAAGATGGTTTTTCTGTTCTCATCAAATCATGAGGAAAATGTATTTTTATGAATGGGATATGGTAGGCAGGACAAGGCAAAAAATATGCCATAGTAAAGACTGCATTTATGACAAGAGAAACATGTTCCCAGGAAAAATAGCCCATAGCTGAATAGAATTTTCAGATACCTTTACCAACATAACTCAAATGTTCAGTTTGCTATAATTTTCCCTGGGTTCTACCCTTAACAAAGTTCAATTAATTTAAATTTTATTTTAACAAAAAATGAACAGCTTATTCAAATTCCTTTCAATCAGTTCAGTAAGAATCTTTTCTTTAAGTTTTGGGCCTTTCTGCTGGGAACAGCCTAATTAAACATGATGGATTCAGGATCTTGATTTGCCATTTGAGCCATATGCCTTAACACGTCCTTTTTAGTGATAATGCCCAGGAGCCTCCTAGAGAAGAAGGGAAGAAACAAAATTGTGATTAATCATTAACCTGTCTTGTTCATTTTTCAAAGTCTGCTGCAGGCAAAATTTAAACACAAAACGATCGGTTTCAGAAGGACACCCTGCTCCTTCCTTCTCTAAAAACCAAGAAATGGGATTTTTTTTTAACAAAAAAGAATGATTTACATTTACAAACTGAAAAAAATCATCACAATGCATTGCTTTTATGAATACAGAACTTTCATTATATTTTTCTCAGCCTTTGGCAAAGGGATAAAAATTCCATATTCTATCCAGCTGCATTCCTCAATGCACTTAGTTAAGGCTGTTTCTTGAGCAGGCTCAAACTTGTCCAACTTGACATCTCTCAGAAAACATTTGCAGAAACTGTTGGGATCCTCCAGGCCAAAGCAGAAGAAACTCAGTGCAGGGCATAAAGAGAGTGATACATCAAAGTATTGTTAAAACCTTAAAGGCAGAGACTCCTGAACTGTGACCTGAATGCCAATGTATCACATTTAAAGAAAGCTTCCTGCAAAATCATTCAATAATATGTCCTCCCCGTTCTCCTGCAGGCATGCTACTATGCAAAAGGTTGGAAGCTCTCAAATATCTATTCATTCCATCTATCATGAGTTTTTATTAATTATTTTAGAGGGGGATTGCTATAGCTGTTAAGAAAACTGAAAAACAATGGTAAAAAGATAGAAATGAAATTAATAGTCAAGCTAATGTTAACTGTATTAATACAGACTTACTAACTTACCCTGATAAGAAAACCTTTTGAAAAATCAATGTTAATTTTTTTCAGTCCAACGCCTCAAATAATTGACGTTACTGTTTTAAATATTTTTTTTTAAACACTATACACACTTAAATAATTAGGTGTGAAAGGCAATTTTTCATTCCTTTTAATTTCTCAAAGGATTGGAAAAACAGAAAAAGAGGATAGATATTCTATTAACACTGCTCCAAAAAAATATAAGAGCAATGCGATGTCTGGATAACTTTTCTATTTTAAAAATATCACACTATATCCTTTTCATAGTACTAAATACTGCAAAATAGGGGAATCATTTCAAAGAAATATTTCTATTTCCAATTATTTTAGTGCAGTTATGAAACGTTGGGGTTCCATTAAAAATCTGTCTAGTGAAGAGTATTTCCTTTCTGTGGAGTCTGGTCATTTATTTTTATTGAATATATGCAATTATAGTTTGTTAGACAATATCTTGAAGTAAAAAGTTGCAGAAAGTAAAGAATACTTTAAATAGTGTGTTTTAAAATATTTATTATAGGACACTTTCTACCTTGAACTGTAGCCATAATCTGAAATTACTTTCACAAAACTAGATTTTGTGGAGTTTTTATCTTAAAAACCAGGATTCTGTACATCCTATGTCTAAAAAAATAAGTTAGATATAGTAATTATTGATCTTAAACCACAGTCTCTTTTTACCAATATTTTACCTGCTTTAAAAAAGCCTGCCTATTAGGCAAAGAGTCTGTCAAAATAACATAATTAGTAAACTCATGTACTTTCCTGATTTTACCAGAACTGAATCCCACTGAGAGTAACATTGGGCAAAAACAACATAGTTTGTTTGGCTAAACTTTTGTTGGCTCCAAATGGCTCAATTTTTCCCCTCAAGTTTGTTGTGCAAATAAATGCTGGTAGTCCTCAACTTACGACCACAATTGAGCCCAAAATTGTTGTTGCTAAGTGAATCATATTTGTTAAGTGAATTACTGCAGTTATTAAATTAATAACACAGTTGTTAAATTAATCTAGCTTCCCCATTGACTTTGCTTGTCAGAAGCGTGCAAAAAATGATCACATGACCTTGGGACCAGAGGTGGTATTCAGCAGGTTCTGACCAGTTCTGGAGAACTGGTAGCAGAAATTTTGAGCAGTTCGGAAAACTGGCAAATACCCCCTCTGACTGGCCCCGCCTCCATCTATTCTCTGCCTCCTGAGTCCCAGCTGATGGGCTGGGTCTTCTTTTGTTGCCCTGCACAGGAAAACAGAGCTGGAAAGCAGGTTAGTGGGGTGGGGAGGGAATGGAGATTTTACAGTATTCTTCCCCTGCCACGCCCACTAAGCCACGCCCACAGAACCGGTACTAAATTTTCTGAATCCCACCACTACCCAGAATGCTGCAACCATCATAAATATGAACCAGTTACCAAGCATCTGAATGTAAATCACGTGACCACAGGGATCACTACAACTCATAAGACACTTTTTCAGTGCCGTTGTAACTTTGAATGGTCACTAAGGGAACTGTTGTTAGGCAAGGACTACCTGTAGCCTGCCTGTCTTCTCTACACTTGGATACTGCTCTGTCTGCAGCATCTTTCTATGCCTGGGTCAAATTCAAAATGTTTCAGGTATTTAGTATTTTCTAAGTGTAAGGCAATAAATTTTCATTAATTTAAGTTGAATTAAATTATACTTATGAATACTCCCTCTCTGACAATTTTCATATTATCAGAATAGTGATGGGCTGTCTGGTAAAACAAAGCAAGGTTATGGCATAACCTTGAAAGGAAACCAGGAAGCTTCTAATTGTGGAGTCTGTCTGGCAAGAACAAAGCCTGCTTATTCACAGGGAATATGCACCTGTAATGCTTGTAACAATTCTGGGTGGTTAGAAAGCTGATAAAAGAAACAAAGATTGGGGCATCTTGCAGACCTCAGCTAGAAATTAGGAATAGGAATGGCCTGGAGGAAGTAGAATGTGTATTAGATAACTCCTGGAACATTCATTAGCCAAGGTTTAAGAATAAGAAAGGCTAGAGACCAACAGAATAATTGTTAGATCATTACTAAAATGTTTATTAGATGATATTCTTTATATATCCCACCTTCTACTTTAGTGAAATTGTATAAAGCTTTCATAATTTTATTATTCAGGGTTCCTTGGCATTTTGGCCAGAACCCCTTTTCTTGGAGCGCTTCAATAAAAAGAAACAAAACCTGCACCTCATGTCTGGTGTTCTTCATCGGCCTCAGCACCAGGCTCAGACCAGAATTGGGGACAAAAATGTTCTTGCCTTATACTATTATATTAATTTAATTGTACTGATATGAAAACTGTCAGCAGGACAGGTTCCTAACTTTTGTCCTTTGTAAGTATTGGTATATGAATGTTGCTTATCAAAAACAGAATCTGTCTACATTTTAGCCAATGAGGAAGTTGGAAAAAGCACTAAATATTCCTCCAACCTTGCAAATGTTCTTTATAGCTTCAGAAGGCCTTCACCATTTCTCTCATGGCTCCAGAATGTTTGAGCTTTTGAGGGACATATTCTATATTCAAGGATCTGTTTCATTAGATTTAGCTTCTACCTCTTATATTGTTTATTCCTTACCTTCTTATAGGCTTACAAATCCCATGGACTCTCAGTTTATAAAAAAAAATAAACATCTATTAGTTAATTCCCTTAATGTGTCATTCATGCAGGGATTTTCATAAGTGTTTGAGGCACATTTAGTCTGGATAAAAGCTAAAACGTTAGCAAAACTTTTGCTAACAATTATATTCGGCTGGCATTTCTCCCTAGCAGCAATATATAGGGTTTTTTTCATAGATTAAAAATAATACATATTTAGCAGTAGCTTGACCTACATATGAAGCTTAATTACATACATGTAATAAATTCTGCTCTAAGTCAAAAGAGCAAAAATAAGATATATTGCTCTGAGCTAGAGGGTAGGTATTTAAATTATAAAAAGCATTAATAGCTAACAAATTTGAGAATTCATTATTTTATTTCAATGGCATCTTTTCCTTAAGTTCTTGTTTTCTGATTGTTACTGAAAATTATGAAGGTGCTTCAAACGCACCTTGTACCTTCTTTTATTTCAGTTTAGTTTTAATTTATTTTTCAAAAATTGCATTATTGTTTTTTTTTTATAAACTCAAGCATGAATCCTTTATAACAACCCAGCTCGTTTTTCCAGGTCTAACATTACATGCATCTGAAGAGGATTGGAATTATTTCTTCCAGAAAATAAACTCCTCCCCTTTAACAGAAATACCGTATTTTTAAAACAAAAATAATTTATATACATACCCACTGCGTGTGACAAGACACTGCCTGAGTCCAAGTTTTCGGAAAATGTCTACCACTGTTTCCATTGGTGTGTGGTCCGTGACAGTGAAGGGGCTCAGATTCAAAATACGCCGGAGTTTCAGCATATAAGGGCTATCGGCAGGGACCTCTGGAGGCTCTTCAGTAAAATATACAATTGAATTGCTTACTACACCATCTTGGCGCTGCCTTGCATTTTCTGTATGAAAAAAGTCAGACAAATAAGGACTATTGCACATCCATCTCAGGAGAGAAATAGTTACTGTTTTCTGATGATCCTTTAATGGTTCTTATAAGATCAGGATTATTATTAAGTGCATCTGTATAGCAGTCCCAGCACACTTATGCTGATGCCAGATTTATCCCAGCTCCCTTTTTAGGGATAATCTTGATATGGAATAATTTATCTAGAATACCACATTGTTCTATATGAACAGCACCTTTTCATATCTGAGGCCATAAGGTTCAGGCCTACGGAAATCCATCTGCATGCATTCACACAACTACATAGGCTCAAAGAGAGAGAGAGAGAGAGACAGACAGACAGACAGACAGACAGACAGACAGACAGACAAAGATAACTTTGTCCCTGTTGTTCAAATTAACTAATTTGAATCCCTTTAATGGGAGCAAAGGAGAAGAGATTAAGTAGATTGCTACATTTCTGCTTTCACTGGTCACAAACCAAACTACTTACCTTGAGGCTACAGAGAGAAAATATTTCAGAGCAAGCCAGATATTCCCCTATAAGATGTTAAAAACTTGTTCAAGAACCTCTAACTTCTTCTGGGCTTCTGCAATTGCCTCTATAGCTATTGCACAAGCTCAAGAATAGTGCTTTTTTTAAAGTGTTAAATGAAATTCTGAACAATCCTAACCCTTTGAAACTAGATCACTGCAGTGATCTAGTTTCCATTGTGACAGTATCATTTAATATGACTTTTCTGCTACATTCAATATGACAGCAGATTCAAGGGGATCCTCAAAAGCTTCTTCAACTCAATAACAAAAATGTATTCATTTATTTAAAAGATTTACATGGCCACTACAATTCAATCCTGATGCTCACAACAACAAAAAGCACAACTGAACAAACTTAGAACCAGGACACAGAGCCAAAGCAGCAGAATACTCATAGCCCAAATAACCCCTGTCCTATTGTTTCTCTTATTCTTTTATTTTTCTTATATGTACCCATTTCATGTATTCACAACAATGTATACATTTATACTTATTATCTTGTAAACAATTGGCAAATCAAATAAATAAATAAATAAATAAATAAATATGTGTTGTGTTCAACTTTCATCTTGGCCCAGTGATTGGCAGAAGAGGCAGGTTTACACACCCTTCCTGAACCTAAGTGACTAGGGGTCCTCCAGATCTTGAGGGAAGGTTTACTTGCTAGGCGTCACCAGATGACGCTGCTTCAGTAGAAAGGACTTGGAACATATCCCTAATCATTTTAACTGAAAAATGTAGAGCCGATACACACCAACATTTATCTTTAACCATCCAGGTTATTTTATCTTATCTTCTGGGAAAGGTATGCAAAAGCACTATCTTGTAGGGGCACTGAAGGGACTGAAACCAAGTCTCACAATCTTTCTTTCACACAATTCAACTGTTGGTTCACAAACGATTGCTTTCCAGACACAGACAAGCCTTTTAAAAGTCATACTTTTATATTGGGCAGTCCAGTAGCTTAAATAAAGGAATAAAATCTTGTGAAAGAGCAAAATATTGTGGACAGCATTTGGATAAAACAACAAACTAATTAGTTTGAACATAGAAGGGAATCTGAATTTAGCAAGGGATACAAATGGCAAAGGATTATGAAATCTAGTAGTAGCATATATAACATGAAACCATACTGTGGCTTGTTGTTAGCTTAGCACTGTGATTATTGAATAGAATTAAATGTCAAATTCTTGAAGCGGTTGCCAATGGAAAACTTAATCAGCTTACACCTGATTTTAGGAAAGTGCCTATTTGACTTTTAAATTACACTCTTCATTAAGCTCAAAGTATTGACATATATTTTTCAGCTAATTGAAGCATATATTATTATTATTATTGACTTTTTTTTCTCTAATGTGTGTGCACAGCAATATCATAGCAAAATTACTGCTGAATAATGCGTCCATTTCCCTTTCTTTTCCTTTTCTTTGGTTTTCAGTGTGTAGAAGTGCTAAAATCTCCTGAACAATAATAGGCTTTCTAAAAAATATCCTCTGTTCAAAAACAAAGGCTAACTAACACTAATAATATTTCCTCTTGATGCTAATCTTCAAAAGAGATTTTCAGTGCAAGTTTTTCTATCTCTCCCTTTGAACTATTTTCTATCAATCATGGAGCTAAAACCAACTCTTAACTTCTAACAGAACCTTGTCAGTTTCTAACACATTGGCATTGTACTGTATTATGTCTCACTTAAACTCATCTTGTAAAAGCCATGAAATGTAATTTACCAAATCCAAACTGCATCATCCTTCAATGCTTTCAAGCCTACATGTAATTTATTACATTTTATATAAATTATTGACTTTTTTCTCTTTCTTCTTATGGTAAATATGGCTAATTTTGTAATTGCAGTGTTTGCGTTCATCTCTATCACCTTCCTCTATGCATCAATTTACTATAGTTCTGCTTTAACTTTGAAAAGAATAAGAAAAAGAAGACAGAAAATTTGTATAGACATTCAATCTGTTGCTGAGTATAATTGTTAATATATATTGAAACACTTCTTTTGTTACAAAAAGAAACAAGAAAGAAACTTTCTGTTATTCTTAAAAGAATCAAGATTTTATAAAGGCTAATTTGCAAAAGTAAAATTAAATGTATTGATGTGAGAAGATATGATATTGGGATCTTAAGTTTAGAATACTATTGCACACAATTAATTTCTTACCTAACTTTCTTCTAGGCCACCCATAAAACTAATCACCTCTATGTGAAACAGATGCAACTCACTTATTGCAAGAATCAAGTCCCGTCTCTGTGCAAAGCCAATAAGACGCTCTTTAGAAACCACCACTGGAAAGCCATTGTAGTCTGTTTCCTTGATTAATGTCTCCACATCTTCCACAGTCATGCTGTCTTGGGTCAAGACAGAAAGGGGAGGTTCTCCACGCCTGGGCCTCATAACATCCGTAGCCAGTGTTCTGTGGGTAAATTCATCTTTTACATCCAGAAATGGATAGCCATTCAAATGGATATGTGCCTCATAGATCCCTTCTTTGCCAAAAGCATCCGCAACCCACTTGCTAGTCACAGCTGCAGCCATAAGAGGCACAATATACTCTAGTCCTCCTGTTAATTCAAACATGATTACGACAAGCGAGACAGTCATTCTGGTAACTCCACCTGTCAACAGAAAGAAATTGATGGGTAGGATTGTGATAGACCAGTGGTGGCTAACCATTTTGGCATCCTGTGCCAGAAATTGTGCACATGCTTGCACACTCACGCTCGTGTGCCAGCACCCAGAAGGCAATGTGTGCCCTCCAACAGCCCCTACACCTGCACAGGCAATCCCTACCCACCCCTGCCACCCCCTTACCTGTACTGCGCCTCACAGCTGATTTTTGGCAGGTTTGAGGCCTTTTTTGGCCTCCCAGAGGCTTGAGGAAGGCTTCTGCAGGCTTTGCAGGCAGAAAACTAGCCCCATTTCATCACTTCCGGTATTTTCAGAAAAACAGGAAGTGATGAAACCGGGCTAGTTTTCGGCCTGCAAAGCCTGCAGAAGCCTTCCTCAAGCCTTTGGGAGGCCAAGAAAGGCCTCAAACCTGCCGAAAATCAGCTGTGAGGCGTGCGAATGCGCAGTGAGATAAGTTTGCCTGCAGCTCACGTGCCAGCACAAATGGCTGTGCGTGCCACCTGCATGCATGCCATAGGTTCGCCATCACTGTTATAGACAATGCCAGTTTGATTTTCTGCAACCTAACATGCATTTTCATAAGTGGAATCAACTATTAAATGTTGACATTTTTCCATAAACCAAACACAAAGGCAGCTCTGCAGTTGTACTGTATTGTATCCATTGAATTAGTATACAGCCTTGGCTTTCTTCATTCCCAAATGGATATGGTGCCTTCATTCCAAGGAAACTTTAGGTACTATATTCACGAACAGCAAAATTTAGGAGTGTAAACAGATATCTGTCATACAGAACAACAATTAAAATAAAAGAATAATATATGGTACCTAAGCACGCAGCAGCTCCCACCATTGCATATAGTCCTGGAGTAACACAATCAGCTCCTGGTCTACACCAGTTTCTGAAGATGATCCAGTCGTGATGATGGTAGGCCAACTGTTCCACACCGATTCCAACAATTCTACCAGCTATTGCTCCTACAGCCATGCTGGGTATAAAGAGACCTGAAGGAATCTCAAATAACACAAAGTGAAGTTAAAACCAAATTATTATTCACTTAATAACTGTGTTACTAACTTAACAACAGAGGTGGCATTCAGCAAGTTCTGACCAGTTCTGGAGAACCAGTAGTGGAAATTTTGAGTAGTTCGGAGAACCAGCAAATACCACCTCTGACTGGAGATTTTACAGTATCCTTCCCCTGCCACGCCCACCAAGCCACACTCACAGAACCAGTAGTAAAAGTTTTTTAAATTCTACCACTGCTTAACAACTGCAATGATTCACTTAACAACTGTGGCAAGAAAGATAATAAAATGGAGCAAAACTCACTTAACAAATGTCTCAAGTAACACCATAAATTGTGGGCTCAACTGTGTGCATAAGTTGAGGATTACCTGTAGTATATATGGTAAAGGTGATTTCAAAGTTTACTTTAAATATAAACATATTACATTTCTTAAATTTAATAAATTATTTCAGTGACTACTGAAGTCTTCCTATTAAATGTTTTTCTTTCTTATTACTTCAGAGAACTCCATTGTTTTTGTTCACTGCAGAAACTTATCACCTTGCATTTCTTAATACCTTGGCTATTTTCCAAGATTGTTATCAATTCTGCCCTTTAACAACAATTAATCAAGCAAGAGCAGAAGAGACAACATATGAAGGAATCATAGCATGAAAAAATAGTTTTAATTAGCGCTATGATTCTCCCCATCACTGGTAGATACTTCACATTATAATTTAAGGGGAAATTGCTACAAAATGCTTTATAGATAGTATATAACTCTGTCAATTATTACCAAAATAGACAAATTATACAACAAGAAATGTGAGAAATGCCATAACAAAGAAGAAACATTTTATCACATATGGTGGTGTAGAAAAAAAGCAAGAGTACTATAAATAAATACATCAAAATATTCAAGAATTCTTTAAAAACTGAACTGAATATAAACATTTAATGTGGTATAAAATATTATTTTTAGTGCAATCTTCCCCTTAGTTGTACTTGGATAAGTAAAAGACGGAACTCTGATGGCACAGTGGTTAGAAATGCAGTATTGCAGGCTAACTCTGCCCAGAGCCAGGAGTTCAATCGAGGTTGACTGAACCTTTCATCTTTCCGAGGTTAGTAAAATTAGGACCTAGATTACTGGGACAATATGCTGACATTGTAAACTGCCCAGAGAGCACTATAGAGAAGTATATGAGTGCCATTGCTATAATGGTATATTTGTTTCAGTGTATCAGATCTTAGGTGACTACAACGTTTGTTAAACTATGCTTGGTTTTCCAACTTACCTTCATGCCAAAAGTGAATATGGTAATGATGATTTTAAAAACCAGAGCTAGAGCTAGCTGCCACATAGCCATGTATACTCCTGCACCAGCTGGTCTGTCGGGAATATCATCCACGGGTCTAGTCATGTTGGGATCGTTTATGTAGTCACAGAGTTGCGACGACTCCAAGGCTCCACAGTCATTGAAAAGTTCAGAGATGAGCTCACTGGTGCTCCTTCGGGTGTAAGGATTGGGATAGGCAATAATAGCAGTTATGGCAGTGACTGCGATGACCTCTAAGACTGGATACTTTCCTAGCCTGGTAGTTTTACGCCTCCTGCACCATGCAATGTTGCATCGAATAAAAAGTGTCCCCCACAATCCTCCAAAAACTCCAAGCAATATAAAGGGGAAAAGTTCAGCCATGTACCAAGGGGTGTGATATTCCACATAAAAGAGAACCAAGCGGCTGTTTCCAAATGGGTTGATGGATCTCAGGGTAAAGGCTGCCACAAGTGCAGCAAAGAAAGATCTCCAGAGAGTCTTCAAGGGAAAATAATAACTCACCTAGGATAAAATAGAATCTATCAATAATTATCTTCAATTCTTTCAAAGGGTTTCCTTTGCAAATACTTGTGGAAGTGATATATTATTGTGCATTGATAAAGATGCAGTCCAAGGACAGGATTGTAGACGTTTAAAAGAGTGGAAAGATTGCACTACCTTTGCATATATTATTAGAAATATGCAACCACACCACAGAAATAGAATAAATAAATAAATACATCAATCAATCAATCAATCAATCATAAGCTACTTTCAAATTTTCAGGAGATACTAGGATCCCATAACCATTGCTATTAAAGTACCAAAGAATTCTACAGGTACACAATATCCATATTGTGAAAAAAGAGAATATAGGAAAGATGCTTCATCATATATCATATTTTTCGGTGTATAAGATGCTCTTCCCCCACAAAAGTGGGTGAAAATGTCTGTGCGTCTTATACAGCAAATGTTGCCCACCATTCGGCCTCCACCCTTCGCCCTCTGCTTCCCAGCAATTTGTCTCCTTGCAACAAATAGCAAACAGCCTGGTCAGCTTCAGCGCAGACTGATTAGCACAAGCAGCTGATTGTTGATTGGATCTGCCTCCCAATGATCAGCTGTTTCAGGTTGCAGGGATTGCCATTGCCTATTGCTGCTTCTGTGCCCCCCATTTTTGGCCACCGCGCCCCATTTTTGGCCTCTGCGCGCCCCATTTTTGACCAGTTCCAGGCAGTGGGGATCAGAATGGGCCCTTTTTCTTATATCAATAGATTCTGTTAGTTCTCCATTTACCATAACCTTTGCAGTTTGTTCATAGTATATCGTTTCAATGGCTTGAATGAATTTTTTACCAAAGCCCATTTGTTCCAATTGCAATAACATAAATCACCAACTCACATTGTCAAAGGCTTTTTGTGCGTCTAAAAACATCAAAGCCATTTGCTTCTCAGGATGTGCCTCATAGTATTCCAGAGTATCCAAAATAATTCTCACATTGTCTTTGATTTGTCTCTTTGGCAGGAACCCATTTTGGTCAATATGGATAAAATTATTTGAATAACTTTTTAGTCTTTCTGCCAAAATTGAAGCAAAAATTTTATAGTCTGAATTTAATAGGGATATAGGTCTGTAATTTTTAACTTGCTGCAGGTCTGTATCCTCCTTCAGTATAAGTGTAATATATGCTTCTGTCCATGTTTTGGGTATTCTTTTCTTTAACCTAACTTCATTCATAACTTCTAATAGGTGAAGATTCAATATTTCCTGGAAAGTCTTGTAAAATTCCGCTGGTAAGCCATCTGGACCTGGTGCTTTTCCAACATTCTGTTTTTTTAAGGCTTCTGTTAATTCCATCATTGTTATATTCCCTTCTAGCATTGTTTCAGTATCTTTCGATATCTGAGGTAAATTCACTTTCTGTAAATATTACTTAACTTTTTCTTCTTGAATATTCTCTTGAAAATACAATTTTCCATAGTAATCTTGTATATTTTTTTTTCTTTTCCTCATTTCCATAGCAAGCATGTCCTTCTTCATTTATTAGTTGGCTAATCCTTATTGACTCTCTCTCCTTTCTCAAGTTATAAGCTAGCCACCTGCCTGGTTTATTTGCATCTTCAAAGTAATTCTGTTTAGCATTTTTAATTTTTTGTGCTAGTTCCTCTTTTTCCATTAGTCCCATTTTATGCTTAATTATATCCATTTTGTTTTTAATGTCTTTTTTTGCGGGGACTTCTGTAAATCTTTTTCAAATTTTTTATAATCATCCTACAATATTTTGAAAGTCTTTTTCTGTTTTATATTTCTTTTCCTTGTATAGTCGATTATCAAGCCTCTTGCGTAGGCCTTCATTGTGTCCCAGAGGTTCTGTAGAGATGTATCCTCTTTTCTATTTTCTTTTAAAAAGAAAGCAAGTTCTTTTTCTATTTTCTGTTTGAAGTCTTTTTCTTTTAATATCGTATTATTTAAGGTCCATCTAGATCTCCTCTTATATCCTTTCCAAGTAACTTTCACTGGATTATGGTCTGCCCAGGTGCTTGTTTCTATTTCAGTCTCTCATATGTTGGCCAGTAATTCTGCTGACATCCATATCATGTCTATTCTGGACAATGAAACATGTCTGTTTGAATAAAAAGTGTATTGCTTACTCTCCACATTTCTCTCTCTCTATGCATCTTTTAAGTTGAATTCTTCTGTTATTCTAAAGAAAGATTTTGGTAATATCTTTCTAGCTTTCATTGTTGATTTCTGTGTTTTGTAATCCAACCGATCATTAACTATTCCATTAAGATCTCCCATCATACAAACATTAACATAGTCCAATTCAATTATTTTCATATGTAATTTCCTGTAAAATTCTTCTTGGTTATAATTCGGAGCATAAATTACAATTAAAAGTGTTTTAACATTATTGTCCGTTATTTCCACCATCAAAATCCTTCCATCGTCATCTGTGTAAATTAATTCTGCCAAAATTGTATCTTTAATATATAAAATCACACCTCTTTTTTTTATTGTGCCAGCGATGTGAATAATTTCCCTAATAATTTCCCTAATTTTTGTCCACTGTCGCCCCTGCTGTTTGTGTTAACTTTGGAAGTGTTGAATAGAAATATTAGAGAAGACAAAGAAATAAAAGGAATGAAAATTAAAAAGGAAGAGTATAAATTGCAAGCTTTTGCAGATGACCTGGTATTTATATTAGAAGACCCATTGGAAACATTTTCTAGATTAATAGAAAAATAGAAGAATATGAAAAAGTAGCAGGTTTGAAAATAAACAAAGATAAAACAAAGATATTAACAAAGAATATGTTAGTAAGACGAAAGAAAGAGTTGGAAGAAGTTTTAGAAATACAGGTCACAAACAAGGTTAAGTATTTAGGGATATATATCACACCAAGATGCAGCACACTGAAGGAAGATAATTATCTTAAACTCCAGCAGCAGATTGCGACAGATTTGACAAAATGGGGAAACTTGCAATTATCATTGATTGGGAGAATATCTACAATTAAGATGAATGTATTTCCTAGAATTCTATATTTATTCCAGACAATTCCAATCCGACTAGGGAAGGAGTTTTTTGAAGATTTAAATAGAATTGTGCTGAAATATATTTGGCAGGGCAAAAAAGCAAGAATAAAATTAAAACTGTTACAAGATGCAAGAATAAGAGGAGGTTTGCCTTGCCTAATTGGGAATTGTACTACCAGGCAAAAAAAATTGATGTGGGCAAAGGAATGGATAACATTAAGGAACAATAGACTATTGACCTTAGAAGGGTATGACTTTCTTTGGTACAAGGGAACTAAAACACAGGGGTCTTTTAGAAGACACTACATACGAGAGGCATTGTTTTTGAATTGGGAAAAGATAAAAAGACAATATTATTTAAAAATTCCACTATGAATATCTACTATTGAAGCTTTCTCTTATCCAATAATATATAAAAAGGAACAAACAGTTAGACATGGTGAGATATTGAATGAAAAGGGTGAACTTAAATCTATGCAAGCATTGGAAGAACAAGGTGTAAAAATGAATTGGTTTTCATATTTGCAAATACAATCTAGATTTGACAAAGATGTTAAAGCAGAAAGTATTTATGATAAGTTGACTGATTTAGATATGATTTTGATGGGTACTGATGAAAAGGTAATTTAAAAACTTCATGGACACTTACTAGAATTTAAATTGGAGGAGGAACAAGTTAAAGAAATGATGATTGCTTGGGGGGAAAAAATTGGATACAGGATTGATTTAGAAAAATGGCAAAAATTGTGGTCTCAAAATTATAAAATGACAATGTCAACTGCATATAAAGAAAACTTGAAAAGATGTTTTACAGGTGGCATCTACCCCTGACAAGACTTGTGAGAATGTTTAAGAATAAATCAGATAAATGTTGGAAATGTCATCAGATACCTGGTTCATATTACCATATGTGGTGGACATGCTCAGACGCAAAGAAATATTGGACTAAAATCCACACATGGTTGGAAAAAATGATAAAACAACATACAGACTTTAAACCAGAGATCTTTTTATTGGGAATTATACTGGAAATATACAACAGAGCTGAAATATTTGATTGTAAATGTATAAACAGAAGCTAGGATTGTATTTGCTAAGAATTGGAAAAAATGATAAAATACCTATGCAGGAGGAAGTTATTAAGAAAATTATGGACTGTGCTGAAATGAGTAAATTGACATTTGAAATTAGAGAACAAGAAGATAAACAATTTTATATGATATGGGATTTGTTTTATCAATGGTTGGACAAAAAGACATGGTAATATAATAGACTAGATAATTTTGTGATAGAAATGTAATAGATTGATATAAGATATAGACATATATAACCATTGGTTGAAAGCATAACATAAATTTTAAGATAAAATTTGGAATATCTCGTATAAAATGATGGAATAGTTTAGTCATGTATGATTAATAACTGATAAATATATGTTAGTTTGACAATGTGAAAACTGATATAAACTGTGAGTAAATGACTATAAAAGAATAGCACAAAAGATTTGCAACCAACTGACACACTGTATATATATAAAATGGAAGATGGTTTTATGTTTTTATGTTTTGTATGTGTATGTTTGTCTTTAAAAAAATAAAAACTCTTTTTAAAAAAAAGAATGGGCCAAAAACGGGGCACGTGGAGGCTGAAAATGGGATAGAGGGGCCAAAAATGGGGCACGCAGAGGTGGCCATAGGCGCTGGCAATCCCTGCAGTCTGAAACAGCTGATCCTCGCGAGGCAGATCCAACTGACGATCAGCTGCTTGTGCTAATCAGGCTGTGGTAAAGCCGACCAGGCTATTTGCTGTTTGCTGCAAGGAGGCAGAGGCAGATTTTTTTCTTGTTTTCCTCCCCAAAAGCTAGTGTGTCTTATACTTCGAAGTGTCTTATAGTCCGAAAAATACAGTACTTATATTTCATCATATAATGTTATATAATCGTTTATGTTTCCCAGTTTTTACTAGTAGCCACATAAAAATTAATTTGATACAACTGTGAAATTGATATGTACTTTTCATAGGAAGGTAATCTTACCCTATGGTTCATGGATTGCAAAAGAAAATTGCCTTCACATTTGCTAGTTATTTTAAAGAATCAAATGAGAAGTTCACTTCTATCACATTTAATAAAATAACTGAATATTAAATGAGGTATATGACAAATTGTTGCCTAAATATCTATTGTAAAGCCACTTCTACCTAGCAGTACAGTAGTTCATACCATCCTCACCAATTTATAATATGATCTTTTGGTATTATCTTCTAAAAAGGATGTATATGTGGTAAGTTATTCTTCCTTAACAACACTGTTGCTATGTTACTGGTTTCTATGATACCAAGACTGGATGTTTTCCATGCATTTTAAGGCATTTCATTTTGTTCTTTATATAACTATGTAAATGACTTAATCCTCCAGGCCGATCAACAGCAACGAAGCATCTGGATTAATAATATATCTTCCTGCCAAGAAGAGACTCAGAGAAATAAAAAAAATGTTACAATATAATAGTCCTCATTTAGCTACTGCCTTGTTCAGCAACAATTCACAAATAAAATGGTGATGAAAAAGCAACTCCTTGCATTTATGATTTTCACAGATCAAAGCAAAGGAAAGCTGAAGTAAGCACAGTCATGGTTCACTTAGTGACGGCTTCACTTAATAACTGAGTTGCTGGACCCATTGTAGTTACTAAAATACAATTGAAGATAAAACAAAAAAACTGTTTTGGATAATCTTACTTTTAGGAATGTTTTCAACTGATATAAGGCCTTGCAAGCATAACAGCAGCAGTATCAAGATACAATCAGGATCAAGCAGTCCAGCCCCCTGCTCAAGCAGAAAATTAGGGGTATCAAACTGGATTAGCATTGCAGTTCTCCTTCACGGACCAGCCGGGGGGAGTGGGGAGGGAGGAGACATGATGGATGCATCCTGCTGGCTAAAATGGGGCACAGAGTGACCACACATGGCACCCCGCACCCTATTTTCAGCTTGGATGACCTCCTGCAGCACTTTGCCAGCCAAAATGGGGCACAGGGGCCCATGGGCAGCCTGGTTTTGGCTGGCAGAGTGCTGCTGGAGGCTGGGGAGGCCAAAAATGGGCCTCATGAGGCCTCCGTGTGGCCCATTTTGGCTGGCAGAGGCACCACAGGTGGGTCCTTTGATATTTCCAGGGCGACCCAGCGGTTCAGATTGAAGCACCCCATGGGCCAAATCTGGCCTGTGGGCCTTGAGTTTGACACCCCTGCCCTATATCACTTCAGACAAGTGATTGTCCAGTCTCTTCTAAAAAATATCCAGTGATGAAGCACTCACAACTTCTGAAGGCAAGCTGTTCCACTGGTTAATTGTCCTCATTATTAGGAAGTTTCTCCTTAATTCCAGGTAGCTTCTCTCCTTGATTAGTTTCCATCCATTGTTTCTTGCCCTACTATCTGATGCTTTGGAAAATAAATTGACCCCCTCTTTTTTGTGGCAGCCTCTCAAATACTGGAATACTGCTATCATGTCCCCCCACCGCCAGCTAGCCTGGCTTACTCAATGCCTGTAACCATTCTTCATGTGTTTTACTCTCCAGGCCTTTTAATCATCTTAGTTGTGCTTCTTTGCACCTTTTCCAAAGTCTCAACTTCTTTTTTGTTATGTGGTAACCAAAAGTGGATGTAATATTCCAGGTGTGGCCTTACTAAGGGTTTATAAAGCAGTACTAATACTTCATGTGATGTTGATTTTATACCTCTGTTTATTACAACCAAGGATTGCATTAGCTTTCTGGGCTGCTGCCGTGCATTGCTGATTCATGCTTAAGTGATTGTCCACTAGAACTCCAAGGTCCCTCTCACAGTTTTACTGTTTTTGAGCCAGATTTCACCTAATCTGTACTTGTAACTTTGGTTTTTCCTGCCCAGGTGTAAAACCTTGCATTTCTCCACATGTTAAATTTCATATTGTTGGATAGGGCCCATTATTCAAGTCTGTCAAGATCTTTTTGGATCCTGAGCCTGTCTTCTGGGGTGTTGGCTATTCCTGCTAGCTTAGTGTCATCTGCAAATTTGATGAGTTCCCCTTCTATTTCCTCATTTAAGTCATTTATGAATATATTAAAGAGTACTGGGCCTAAGACGGAGCCTTGTAGTATGCCACTGTTTACACCCCTCTATGTAGATGTAGTATCATTAAGGACTACTCATTGAGCACGGCTGTCAAATTCATCTGGTGATGATGTTGTCTATTCCACATTTTCCTAGTTTACCAAGAAGGTTGTGGTCTGCTTTATCAAATGCCTTCCTAAAGTCTAAGTATATTATGTTCACAGCATTTCGCTGGTCTACTAATTTAGTCACTTTGTCAAAGAATGAAATAAGATTGATCTAACCCTAACAAATCCATGCAGGCTACTAGTTATAGCTTTATTTGTTTCTAGATGTTCGCAGATCTGATTTTTTTTAAATTATTTTTTCCAATATCTTCCCAGGTATTGATGTTAGATGGATTGGCCTGCGGTTTCCTGGATCTGTTTTTCCCCCTTTTTTTGAAGATGGGAACCACATCAGCTGTTTTCCAATCCTCGGGTAATTCCCATTTGTTTCAGGAGTTTTGAAAGATATGGTACAATGCTTTTGAGATAACATCTTCCAGTTCCTTCAGAACTCTGGGATGTAATCCTTCAGGTCCCAGTGATTTATGTTCATCAAAATCAGACAGGTGTTCCCTAACCACTTTCTTGCTTATTTTAATTTTTATTTCTAGTCTGGCTTTAAAAATTAGGTTTTTAGTAGGTTGGTCTATAATTTCTTTTTGCTTCAAGACTTAGGCAAAGAATGAGTTAAACAGTTCTGCTTTCTCTCTGCTGCCTGTGACTTCCCTGCCATCTTCTCTCTTAAGTGGGCCTACTGTTTCCTTGACTTTTTTCTTGTTATTTGTATGTTGAAAGAAACTTTTTAAAAAATTATCTTTGACTTTTGTTGCAAGTCTTTGTTCATTCTGAGGCTTTGCTTTCCTGACTTCATCTTTGCAGATTTGGGCTATCTGCTGATAGTTATGTGTCTGTCTTTCTATTTTTTGTATTTGTTCTTTTTGTTTTTCAGTTTATCAGAGAGATCTTTGGGCAACCATGCTGGTTTCTTCTTGGATTTCTTGTTTTTTTTCCAGTGGTATTGTGTTGGATTGGACTTTTATGATAATATTTTTCAGAGTTTCCTATGCTTCTTGAGTTGTTTTCCCCTTTAGGATTTTCATCCATGGAATTTTTCTTAGATACCTGCTGGATTATGTTCCATTGCTTGTGTTTGCATTATATTGAATTCCAGCTTCTAGTCACCAGCTCAGCTCAGCTACCTATTTCCATTCTTTCTCTAATGATTTCTGTCCCTTGAGCGCTGACTGCCACCCACTGTCTAAAGCAAAACAATACAGGAACAGCTACCAATAAACTATGCCATACAAAGCATTTGCTCAGCTTATGACATTAAAAATACTTCTTACCTCTTCTAAACTAAAAAGGACCCCCCCAATGGGTGCGCCAAAGGCAACAGAGACACCAGCAGCAGCTGCAGCTGACAGCACCTAACATGGAAACATGAATCCACATGTTAGTAGTCTGTGGAAAATATTCACAGAATATTAGGTGAACGAAGGAAATGGTGAAACTACCAATACCTCTCTCCTTTTTCCTTCATTCTTGCTATACTTGGAGAAGAGGCTGCTAAAGCAATTGCCACAGCAGCAGGCTACATGCACGAGAGGCCCTTCTTTGCCAAGACTGAGTCCTGAGGATACCACCAGAACTAAAGTTACAGTTTTGATTAAGAGCGTCCACTTGCCTAGGTATCCTCGAATAATGAAGCCACTTAAGATGGTCTTTATCTAAAAGAGAAAGAAGAACAAAAGTTGGTTGATCAGATTTTTGTGAAACCACTAGGAAATCTAGGCAGGTCAGGAATCATTTTGCTTTTTCAAGATAGGTGAATATTCCGTGCTGAAAAACTCGAACCAAGTGGCCAGTTTTAAAGTCAACCATTTCCTTTCCTTTACCTACTTTCATCTCCATTAGCAAGGAGTGCAGACTGAGCCTGCCTGAAATGTTGCATTGTAGAAAATTATTCCCTCCCCTCTCACTCCCAATGTCAAAGTTATACCAATCAAGTAAGGAGACATTACCTCTGGAATTCCAGATCCACAGGCATAAGGAGCAAACACCCTCACAAGGGAGACAGCCAGGAAAACAAACAACAATGCCCATAAGATATATAGGAAGTAATTTAGAATGTAAGCACTGGCACCCTAAAAAAGAAAAAAGAAACAAGAACAGATCACTGTTAGGACAGTCCAAAAAGGGGGGCACATTTATGGTGGCTGTATGGGAGAGTGAGAAAATATGAAGCACAATCTCTTCATCAACTATGTTATAAGATTTGTACAGTATATTTTTCATATTTGGCTTATTCAACCACACAAATATTTTCCTTGACGTCTGCAGTCTGATGCATCTAAATATTAGTAAAACTCTCCTGTCTCTTTTGTCCATTTGTAATCTTGTCTTGTCAATTAGGCTAGAAGGAGCATCATAGAGAAACAAGTTTTGGACATGTTGATTGCATCATGTGACGTATTGTGACATATCATGATGTTTTTTGCCTTTGTGGAGCTGGGGTGGGCGTGGCCTGCACATGATACAGCTCTCCCGTGGGCCGCCAGTCTGACACCTCTGACCAAGATATTTCAAGTGGGCTAACTTAAATAATGCATCCAAAATCCAGGAACCATTACTCCCACCTAATTGAAATAAATGATCAAAGGGAAGATGGGAGGGGCATATCCCCATTTTCTTTCCTGCCTTATTCTGACCACTGCACCAAATCAGCTGTCAGCAAGGTCTGATGGGTAAGTGATAATTGACTTCTTTGGAATGGAAACCAAAAATTGAAATCTCTTAGCAATAGTGGGCAGTGAGGGAATGATTAGGAAACGATTTGTATGCCTATTGGCAAGAAAAGGATAGCTGGATAGAGCTGGCTGGGTAAGCCCACTGGAGAAAGGGATCTGTAGGGGCATGCTGGAATGCGGAGTAGGCATGCAGTTTTCCTTGCGGTCCTCAGGTCTCTTTATCCCCCTCTCTCCGGCCAGTAAAGTGGCAGGCAAATCCATGGGTCAGCTGAGGGGGCTTCACTAGGAGGTTGTGAGAGGAAGGGAAGCAGCATCAGCCTACATTATATGTGGAAGAAGGATGACTCAAAAGATCATGAATTGTGTCGTGTTTATTTGAAAATAAATCTTTATGTTGTCAGAGGACTTACTCCCAAATAAACACCAAAAGTTTGGGACTGCAGGTCTTCCAATATGGGATCTCAATAAGGCAATTTATGAAAATTGCAAATATTTTTTCAAAAACATAGAAGGAAACATAATGCATTACAAAAAATATTGATCACTAAGGCCTAAATTATTGCAGAGGTCCTGTAGCCATAAATGAAGAGGGCAGGGCAAATTAAATCAATTTTAAATGAGTTGGGACTGAAAACTGCAATATTTCCCATTAAGGCTCCTTCATTTCAAATCAGTTTTGTTTCCTTTTGTAAGTTAGCAAAAGTTACAGTCTATGCAAAAAGTGGATGAAAAAGAATTAAGCCTGTAAAATAGTAGAATGGGGAACTATTTTAAATAAATACAATCCATTGCTCAATATGTATAACGCTTTTTGCAGCTTTAATGAGATGCTTTGGGGGCAGTGAAAAAATGGCATTTCACATAGGCATTAAAAATTGAATTTTTGGGGGACAATAATAAAAAATTGTTATTGTAACAAATGTATGTTTCCCACTTATACTCTCACCTATTGCATAGAATGATGAATGACTGGAGATTCTTCTGATAATTTTGACATCTGGCTTTACTTATTCAAGCTTAAGACATAGATCAGGGGTGTCAAACTCGCATAGTCACGGTGGTGTCACATGACCTATCAGGACTTCCCCCCCCTTCATTAAATCGGGTGAGGGTGGGGCCAGCACATGATGCATCCAGCCTGTGGGCCGTGAGTTTGACACCCCTGACATAGATGAATTGTTAGACCTGTCCCAATCCGATCGCTTAGGAAAGAAAAGCCTTTAACTCCATTTGGTTAAAGCAAATGGTTCTTTTAGTTGCAGTAAAGTCAAGCGAGCTCTGAAACTACCGTGCTTGCTGAATACAAAAATAAAATGTAGGCTGCACCCATCCCATTCCTCTTCCTGTGACCAGTCCGTTTTCAGCCAACTGGAGCTCGCCAAGATGTTTGAGAATTCTGAGATGTTTGAGGGTAATTCGTACATGTCTCAGGGTGCCTGGCTGTGGGATGCTGGTACAAACAGGTTCCGGCTGCTCTGGTCCTTCTAACCTATCGCTCCCTTCTCCCGATTTCCTATCACATACACAAAAAGCTTTATTGCCCTTTCATCTTTCCCTCTTTCATCCTCCCCCCCCTTCTTCTTTTTATGGCAGGATTCCTATGAGGCCTCCCAAGTTGAGCCAGGCAGATCTGAAATGAAGGGCATCTATTCTGATGCTTTGATTCTTATTGCTACAGCTGTCATTGCATATTTTTAAATAAGAGACAGCTATGACAATAAGTTTTATTCCTTCGCAGGCTGAACTTTGTTTGAAAATTACAGTCCATAACAGAGTGACTGAAGAACAGTTTCAACACATATTCTTTCCTTGATAAATAAATATATAGGGAGGCAGCCAAAGAACATTTGTCTCAGTTTGTCATATATAAATTAAGATTTCATCCCAAAAAGCATATAAGCAATATTTTGGACTTACTGCTATGCTGAGACAGTGATGACATAATGGTAAACTAAATTTATGTAGATATGCATGCAATCCCCTTACAAACCATCATTACTTAACACTGAGGCAACTATTTGAACAAACTACTATAAGATTAAAAAACAGACATAAAATGAACGTACATAGAGAAATATAGAGATAGGTGATAGATAGATAGATAGATAGATAGATAGATAGATAGATAGATAGATAGATAGATAGATAGAT